GTTGAATAATGTCCTCTAGGTTTTTATCATTAATCTGATGGAATTGTGTCATGGTGTTTGAATTGATATTAGGTGGACATAGGGAAAACACATTTGCTGTACCTGATGCAGAGGCACTGACTGCTTGTCTGATTTTCTGAATTTTGTCAGTGAAGAAGGAGGCAAAATCATTGCACAGGCCCTGGTGGATAGAAATTCAGAGGCTACTGACACTGGGGGGTTATTAGTCTGTCGACAGTAGCAAACAAGGCACGTGCGTTGTTTTTGTTTTTGGTAATGATGTCAGAGAAGAAAGACTGTCGTGCGTTTTTCAATTCCAAATTATAAAGGCCAAGTCTCTCTTTATAGATTTCAAAGTGAACCTGGAGATTTGTTTTTCGCCACCTACGTTCAGCTTTTCGACACTCTCTTTTCTCTGTTCTCACGGTCATGGCCTTTCTCCATGGAGATATTTTCTTGCCAATCACTTCCTTTACCTTATTTGGAGCAATGGCATCTATAACATTTTTGCAGAAAAATTCTGAGTAAACATTTCCTTAGTATTTTCAGTTAAATATCGCTTTGTGGTTACCTCTTTTTGAACATTTTTGTGAACAGAAATAGAGCTCTCAAATCCGGGAGCTGTTTGTAAAGTCCTGCTCACATACAAACTGACACTAGATGGTGACAGTCAACCATTAATGCTGCTCTAAAGCCACAATAATCACTCACTAATATTGAACTTATTCCGTATGATGAGACCAATATTCAATTTCCTATATTTTAATTTAATTAAATTAAACAAATATTTGTCACAGTTACCAGTTCAACAAATCTGGTTGGTCGCCTAAAATCAAAAAATATTTTTGCAGCAGTGTAACTTAGCTTCTTCTTTAGTATTGTTTGCGGGGGGGGGAGAGGGGCGTTTAATGAAGGAGTGTTATTTAAAATCCAACTCCAAGTCACCTTTCACTTGAATAAAACTGTCCACACTGGTATTATTACCTGTGAGGTAATGCTCCAACCCTTCTTAATATCTCTTCTTATATCATAATTCATTTAACGAGATATTTGACAGTGATACTTCATACTCCTCAAAAGCCTGTTAAATTCACAACAGAATAAGAATCTCCAAAGCTTTTCAGACTGACATCATGCTTTACACAAGGGTGTGTACACAGTTATTGCTCTATAGGAGAAAACATGCCATCATTTCAATACAAATTGGAACCTCGTATTTTGTTTTTAGAAAATATTTTAATAGAACATATTTAAACCAAAATATACAATATTTTGGCATTCTCCAAACCAGAGAGTTGGCTAAGGAAATCTAACATAAATTGAATTTGTTCTGTTGGCTTGTCCGTCTCTTGTTTCGAAAAGGATTATATGTGTCTTACATGTGTCTTTCTAGTTGAAAATACAACTTCAGCTACAACATAGTGCTCTAGTCACTTTAGAATCTGAAAACAAATTGCCCAATTGACTACATTTTGAAATGAACCCAACATTAACTGAGGCATGTGTTCCCTTTGAGGTCACTTTCTTATCTGGGGAGGTGAGACTTCAGGTGTTCCTTTAGCGCTGGTATGGTGGGAAGCTCTTTACGACAGTTGTGACAGCGGAGAGGAAGTTTCAATAACTCGCTGGTTCCTTCTTTGACGGTTACTTTCCCATCTGTTCCAAGCATCTGAATGACATCTGTAAATAACAAAAAGTGTCAAAAGTTAGAGATATTGTAGTTATAGAAACAATTTACCACTATGATTCAAGTCGTCAACTTATAAGATTTGTAATTTGTTTTCACCTTGGGAGTCCATGAAATAGTCAGTTGTGAATGAGTTCCAGTGTTTCTTGTTCTTTAAAGAAGGCGAGTCGAAGTCTTGGCTGATCACATGCAGGTGTACGTGACTGTAAGAGAAAATATACACAAAATGTGTTAATTTCATATACATTTACAGCAAATATGTATTAACCATTTTGCTCATTAACTATGGGGTCAAATTTGCAAAATGGGTACTACCGTTTTTTTGTTTTTGGTGGTATTGGGGTAAATGAAATGTGCACACCACCAACAATGACTTCTGATTTCTGTCTTAAGTAAATGAGCAAAACAGGCTTACTTTTGATAATAACATTTTATTGCCATTATGTGACCTGCTTTGGGCGTACCGTGTAAAGCAGAGTGAGGCCAGTGCATTGATACTGCAAATTAAATACTCAAAGAGAATTAACTTGGGTAAGTGTTGAATAAAACAATAAAAGACGATTTAAAAAAGGGAAGAAACTATTTCAAAAGGAAGAAATCACAGAAAATAAATCTAGACTGGTAAAGACAAGGTGGAAAATGATAAATGCTTTTAGTTTAGTCAAAGGCAGCCTATCTTAAACTATTCTGTTACTGTACTAGCTTTAACAGATATCAGTGGCTGTCTATAAGTGAAAAACCATGATGTTAACAGATAATATCCTGTAGAAATAATGCCGGTAAAATACTAGTATTTAAAATAAATCCTGAAACACCAGCCGGGTCTTTATTACTTACCTCATACTGGGGATGGCATGGTACCCGGTGCGGAAGCGTAATGATTTAGCATCTGGGCATTGTTGAACCATCTGCTCAGCGACTTGATGCATGTGTTTCACTAGATCGCAGTGCTCCTCTCGCAAGGCCTTCAGGCTGGAAATGGTCTGCCAGGGGAGGACCAACCAGTGGTAGCGAGCTTTGGGGTATTTATCTTTAATGACTACTACTTTATCATCCTTATACACCTAGAGAATGAAGAGAGTTATTTGATAACATTTGATAACATCCAGATCAGTAAGTATTATAGCAACTGTTATTTTTTTTCTTTATAAAAGCTACCTGCATCTTTGGGTCTTGCATTGAGGTCTTCAGACCTTGGCTCCAAGGTGCAAAACTTTCCTGCAAAAAATGTAACGTTATGATTTTTTTTCTGTGTAACATACTCTTACCAGGTCTTAAGAAAAAGTATTCAAGATAATTGGACATTTGGACGTAATTAAAAAATATATATTTCAAAAAAGTTTCTTCTCTCACTGTGTTTTTTATGTTTTCTCCCAGGCTGTCTAGCACAGAGGTCTTTTTTGTCTGTTTGGCTGCTTTCACACTCAGAGCCTCTCTGTGGCTCTCTTTCTCCTCTGAAGCCAGCTCTCGGGGTCTTTTGTTTCCCCCGTGGCCCCCGGTGGTATCCTCCTTGAACTGTACAGTGTATGGGTAGAGCTGGTTGACAATATGAAGCTTCTGTCCTGCCTTCATTTTGACCTCACTGTCCTTACCCACCACCACAGAGTCTATGGATGTTGGGTTCAAGCCCAGCTTGGAATAAAGACAGAAGATGTTGAGTGATAAATAGAGAGTGGTGGATTAAAAGTAATTCAGACTGAGCATACCACACAATCATTGCATGAGTTTCAAGCTGACATGCGTCTTACCTGTTTAACTTTGACATAACCTTTGTTGCATTCTGCTTTCAATTCAACTGGTTGGGAAGGGATACAATATGCAAGGATTAAAGTTTGAATAAAAAAGAACAGTATATGAAATTAGAGAGGAATATGTGTTTTGTGTGTTATTGTGTATATGATAGCCTGAAACCAGCTGTTGATCGTATTATGTGTACTGTTATAAACAGAGGTGTACAGTTACAAAGTACATTTACTCAAGTACAATTTTGAGATACTTGTACTTTACTTGAGTATTTCCATGTTATGCTACTTTGTACTTCTACTCCACTACAATTCAGAGGTAAATAATGTACTTTTACTCCGCTACATTTATTTAGTACCCTACATAAAGTTACTTTGATTGATGATGTGCAATATAATAATCACTTAAATCAGACTTTAGTTAGACCTGGAGTAGATTCACAAGCTACCCTGCAGTAAACAATGTGATTATCACTAGCTGCCGATTTACCAGCATTGATAAACACTTTAATGTATCAATAATTATAATCAAAACTTATAACATATATTATACTAAAATTGACCAATCTGTATAAAGATAACTTGTACTATTTGTACTTTAAGGATATTGTGATGCTAATACTTTTGTACTTTTACTTGAGTAACATTTTGAATGCTGAGTACTCCTACACTCTGGTATTTCTACTTTTACTTAAGTACACAATGTTAGTACTTGTGCCACCTCTGGTTATACTGCATTGTATAATTTATAGTTTTATAAAACGGTTACCAAGTGTGGCAATATGAAAGAAAAATACACACTCTAATTTAAATAGTTTTTATTCGTAAATAATGATGATCAAAATAAAATAGTCCCTCCGTTGCCTTCTGCACAAAACATAGTGCGAGGTGGTTGCTATGCAACAACACTAACAGCTATCGAACATATTAGACAGAGAGCGTTGATCCATTATTTGGTTGTTTATTTACATTAATGTGTATGTTGCTGTTTATTGTGCAGCCACTGAAAAACTGTCCAGCATCAGTAGCATGGCTTACGTGGTCACTTGTATAGGTTGAGGTTGTTCTAGGCTGTTGCTTGGCGTGGCGATAATATTGCTCCACTTTCTCCGGTCCCAGAGATTGGGCTTCCAGTAGCTCTGGAGAGAGCTTTCTCAGCCTGTGGCCACTAACGGTCATAATTTCTCTGCTTTGTTTCAAGACCCGCATCAGAAAGCTTTTGAATGGTGCTACTTTTCCAGTTGGTCTACCTGCTCTTCACGTAGCTCTGCATGTCGTCGTTTAGGTGCTTTCTTGAGATAGGCACTGCTCAATCCACTCCTCCATAGTAAGACCCCCCCGGAGGTCGAAGTTAATCTTCAAAGGTTTCCATCTTAGGCTTTGTAAGTTTGTTTCGTAACTGAAGAAATGCAAATATATT